CGCAAAAGCATTTGCACAAGAGGGCTTTTGCCCGAACGGGAGCAGCATAACATTTCTGCAAGAACAATGACAATCTTACATAAGATTGTCAGTGTTCTTGCGGAAATTCAAGTGTCCAGTGTAGACAGCTGGCAAGTTTTTCCGCAAAAGCAACTGCTTTTGCGGAAAAACTTGCCAGTCTAGACACAGCCCCTAAGTATACTGAACAAATTGATCTAAAGGGACCTCCTTATATTAATCAGACATTCTATGAATCTCTCATATGGTAATTAACCTTCAGCATCTCTCAATTTATCCTATCTACGAAGCAAACACCAAAAGCAAGACAACCCGGAAAACAAAAGCGATTGCTACCGCCAAGTGATAGATAGTGTTCTAAAGAAACTTTCCCAAAAATCCTAATATTGAAAGGCCAAGTTTGCTTTCTTTTCTACCACTGGCAAGCATTTTTCTGATAAATTTCTCACATCCTGTGCAGAGGAGCTACTTCATGCATCAATGTTCATAGCGCAACTCCTCCAGCAAACAGCTACAGTACCAGGCAGATGGGTCAAAAGCCAACTGCCAATGTTTCTGATATACCTTCTACAGCAAGCAGAGTGGGCAAATTCTGGCCCTCAGGCTGGATCTGGTCTGCAGAGATAGTCCCTGGTGGGTCCCCACTTACATGTTTACCTGCATCTCCTGAGGTATCAGAGGATTGCAGCTCTGGTTAGCTGCAAATCGCCATTTGCGGCCGATGTGAGCAGTGGGAAGCAGCATCCCAGTCTGTGACACTTCCCACCACTTGCATTGGCCACAAACAGCGATTTGCAGCCAACTAGAACTGCAATCCTCTGATACCTGCAGAGGTGCAGATAAATATAGTGGTGGCGGTCTGCTGGGGTCTAAACCCGATTTTTTTTTTTTTTTTTTTATTGCCTACCCCTGGCTCTACAGTGTCAACAGTTCAGTAAAGACTGTATTTCAGGGATGGCGAAACTTTTTTGAGTCAGGGGCCACTGACCCACTGAAAAATCAGTGGGGGCTGCACACAAGTGAGAAGCCCCTGAGAAGGAGGAAGATGCTTCTCATGTTGCCCTCATACACCAGAGCCTAGGGGAGCCCAGGATTTTGTGTGCTCCAATCCTGTGGGTGAGTGGTGAGGACTGGAAGGTTAGTGTGGACTCCCCAGTGCTGGGGAAAGTCCTGAGCCTCAGAGACCGGATCCAGGCCAGCCGGAGGCCACATCTGCCCCCAAGCCTGAGGTTCCCCAACCCTGCTGTATTTGAACACACTATCATGAACATAATCAACAAAGGATTTTGAGAGAGAAAAAAAAGAAGAAATACCAAGGGATACTAAAAAACTGCAACTGTAGCTGTAGTTATCAAGAGTTTCCCTCCCTGCCTTGAAGTATAACTTTGTTTTATAATCTGTAACTCCTGTGCTTCTCATCACTAGCTAGACTACCTTACATTTGATCTGACAGAGTCCACGTCTTATTACTAACAAAGCAATTAAATTTTAAATATCATAGTTCATATCCATGTCTAATAAAGCCAAACAATCTAAACCACAACAGCTAATTAAAACAGTGATCTGAATTACAGAAGAAAGTCACAAATTCGCCCCCTAACAGAAACTCGTTGTATTCCTCTTCAGAAGTGTGGGTAATTATTTGAACACTTAGACAAGCACAATACCATGGCAAGAAAGGAGAAGTGAAGTCAGAATAAGGCCACCCAACTTCCTTATGCTTTCTAATAAGCACCACTTCTGTTACAGGTGTCTACAAATAGATATAATAAAAATATCGATGTTAAGGATAAGGTCTGTCTTCTGTCTCCAAACCAACTAGGCTAGGAGAACAAATAAGCATATTCTGCCTCCTGTACCCTCCTGAAGTCAGAGCATATCCAGCCTTGGCATGACTAGCTTGCAATTCTCTACCTGACAAGCTGTATGCTGGTGATGTCAGGGCAACTAGCAAGCCTGGCTGGAGCATAAAGCTAGCGTAAAAGGGAAATGGAAACATATTGTTTTAATACTTGACATGTTTTGGAATATGCAGGTGTACATTGTTATAACCTCTCTCTCCTTGTTGTCCCATCTTTGGAGATTAATTCCTGCCCTCAATTTACAAAAGTACCTTGAAAGAATACATGTGTGTGACTCTGCTCCTCCTCCTCCTCCTATTTGTACTATGTAAATTTGGCACCTTTACTATGTGTTATCCAAACTATATTATGCCCTTGTGTTGCCTCTTTTTAGTTTACTTATTAATTCACAGAGAAAATAAAGACTATTCTCTCTCCTGAAGAACAGATTAACCTTAAATTGCAAGGTACAGCAAACATTTATAAAATTGCTAAAATTCAAGGAATGATTAGCAATAAACCTAGCTTCCAAGTTGTATAAATATGAAAATATACCCCCACAGACTAAGATGTCATAACTAAAATACAGAACTAGATGAAAAATGATCCAATGTTCTGGGGGTTAGGATCTAAAATAGACAGTTTTCTTCCTTTATGAAAACAGGCTGGGGGCGAGGGGGGAAGAGTCCCAACACTGCTAATTCTGCTTCAAGATCCACTGGGCTGTGTCTACATTGGCACCCTTTTCCGGAAAAGGGATGCTAATGAGACAAGTCGGAATTGCAAATGTAGCGGGGGATTTAAATATCCCCCGCGGCATTTGCATGAACATGGCTGCCGCTTTTTTCTGGCTTGGGGCTTTGCCGGAGAAAAGCGCCAGTCTAGACGGGATCTTTCGGACACTTTGGAATTGCAAATGCCGCGGGGTATTTAAATATCCCCCGCGGCATTTGCATGAACATGGCTGCCGCTTTTTTCTGGCTTGGGGCTTTGCCGGAGAAAAGCGCCAGTCTAGACGGGATCTTTCGGAAAATAAAGCCTTTTCCGGAAGATCCCTTATGCCTGATTTTAAGAGGTTTAAATCCCCCACGGCATTTGCAATTCTGACGTCTCATTAGCATCCCTTTTCCAGAAAAGGGTGCCAATGTAGACACAGCCCTGGTGTATATAACACTGGCAGCTCTTGGGAAGCCAACCTGCTACTGGTTTTAAACATTGTGTTCATTAGGTCTTGCCTAAACTGGGCTGACAGCATTACAAATGCAAGAAGCACATCAACACCAGGGCTTCTGATGTTATCAATAGTAAAACTTTCTAAATGTTTTGCACTAATATAAACAAGGTATTTGACAGAGGCAACATGCTAGACAGCTATCTTGATCTAATGAACACCTTCTAAAGCTCTAATCAAGACAAATACACTGCACTTTAGAACATGCTAAACTAGGTGAATCAAAGCCTGGAGGAGCCTAGGGTTCAACTGGATAAGCTAACATGGTAGGCCCACAGTTTAAGATTTCAACATATTTTTTTTTCCAATTTAGGCAGGGTCTATGTCTCCAAACCCAACTCCACAGGGAGCATAACACGTATGCATTGCTTACATAGTGAAGTATTAGCAAGGGATAAGTAGTTAGTTATTCTGTTAATAGTTTCTACAGAAGTAACGTGGATACAGTATCAAGATGCCAGAGTTTATGAAGTTACATCGTTTTCTCGTACATCTAATGTTTTATTGTATTTCTTCTGCAGTAACAAAGAGCCCACGGATCTCTCAAAGCGTGAAGAATTGGGTGCTGAGCGTCCCTGCAGATGCATTCTGTACTTTTCTAGCGCCAGGAAAGAGAGGCTCCTTTAATACGGCTGAGGACGGGAACGGACACGCCATAACAGACCCAAAGCTGGGGGCACAGTGACCTCTACTTTCTGCGGAATCGCTCCCCCACCCCCGTCACAGGCGGTGTTTAAAACTCAACCCGCAGCGCGCGGCCCCAGCGAAGGTCCGGGCGGCAGATCGCTCTGTACTTTTCTAGCGCCAGGAAAGAGAGGCTCCTTTAATACGGCTGAGGACGGGAACGGACACGCCATAACAGACCCAAAGCTGGGGGCACAGTGACCTCTACTTTCTGCGGAATCGCTCCCCCACCCCCGTCACAGGCGGTGTTTAAAACTCAACCCGCAGCGCGCGGCCCCAGCGAAGGTCCGGGCGGCAGATCGCTCGTGCAGCGACCGCCCGGCGCCTTCCCCTCCCGCCGCCCGCG